GTCCTTACTGCAACCAGCCGCGATTCAGACCAAACGGACGTCCTCATCGCCAATTCACCTACATCCCACTTATTCCTCGACTTTGCGCCTTCTACCAGAGTCTCTCAATGGTCGAGCAGCTTCAATACCGCTCTACATTTGTTCATGATCCAAATGTCGTGTCAGATGTGTTCAGCTCAGAGCGATACCGTGAGATGCTGCACACTAAGGTTGTTGTTGATGAGGAGGAGCTCAAGCACGCCTTCTTCTCTGATCCCCACGATATTGCTTTTGGTCTTTGTACCAACGGCTTCCTCCTCTTTGGTCGACGACGCGGTGGACCATCAGCAACACCATTGCTTCTTAAAATCTACAGCTTGCCATCCACTGTTCGGACACATCTCAAACATCTACTTTGTCTCAGTGTTGTTCCAGGCCCTCGGCAGCCCAAGGACCTTGCATCTTTCCTTGTACCCTTTGACAAAGAATGCGCCACACTAGCACGAGGCGTTGATTGCTTTGACTGCTCTATCAAGGAGATTTTCTCCCTTCATGCTTATCAGCTCTTCGAGGAGGGGAACATCTTGGCAATCGAGAAATTTCTGGGGCTCAAAGCGCACAGCAGCTGTTGTCCATGTCGCTCTTGTTTGATGCGTGGCCGGCGTATGGCAAGCGGAAGAAACAAGGTCTACTATCTCCCGATTACACATCCTCGTCAATCTCAGGACACAGTGGTGACTCATTGGGATAGCCGCAATCTTCCTCTTTGTACACACAACAGTTTCGCTACAACTCTTGCAAAGGCTGCTGATGCCACTACAAAAAAGTATCGCAATCAGCTTCAGCAGCACTATGGAGTTAAGCAAGCCCCTGCACTGTTTCGTGTCAACTCACTCGACTACGGTCGCTCCTGCCCTTGGGAGTGGCTTCACCTCTTCGCCGAAAATATTATTCCCAACCTTCTTGATATCTGAACCGGTCGCTTCAAGGACTTAGATGAAGGTTGCGAAAGCTATGTGCTCGACAACAATGTTTGGTCTGCTATCGGAGCTGAAACGCTAGCTGCAGCCGAGGAGATTCCATCTGCATTTGTGTGCAAGATGGGCAATATAGCAGAGGACAGGTTGGGTTACACAGCAGAATCCTATGCCTTTTGGTTCATGTATCTCGCGCCTCATCTCCTCGCTGGCCGCTTCAAGCATCGCAAGTATTACGACCATGCTATGGAGCTTGTTGCCATCATGAAAGTGACTCTACAGTACTTCTTGACACACCAAGAGATCGATTGGCTAGAGAATGCCTGTGATTCATGGGTTCACAAGTATGAAGAGTGCGTGCTCTGATTTGTGTTTTTTAAGGACAAGCTCTAACATACTGCCAGGTATTATTATCAATATGAAGACTCACGGCTTGCCTTCTGTGTGCTAACTATTCATGGCCTACTACATGTAGCCCCAGATATCCGTGTATGTGGCCCCATGTCAGCCACATGGTCTTGGTACATGGGGCACTACTGTGGGTTTTTGAAAAAGGCCTTACTCTCTCGCAAACAACCCTGGCGAAATCTCGATGAACGGGTCAAGCAGTTCAGTAACCTGGCACATCTACATATGAAGTACGACCTTAGCACAGAGCTTCCAATGGAGAGGCATAGCAGCGATAATGTCAGGGCCAGTGAACATGTGTACGAGGAGTGTGAGTTAATCTTCAGTTTTAATGTGGACTTGCGTCAACACACCACGAGGGATGCTGCGTGGATCTAATCGGAAGGCGGCGCTGACGAGGTCTGGCGACTATGCGTTAGCTTGTTCAGCTAGCCCAATTAACCAAGTTGTGTTAGTGACTATACTACGATACAAACGAAGGTTTACCTAGCCCAATTAACCAAGAGGTTGAGATGGGGCTAGGTAGCGACAAAGGGACTCCTTATATACTAGTCAGGCTGCGCACGGACCAGGCGTTACATAAGCGACTGTGCTACGGCGGCTGCTAGTGTCTAGGGGACTTTGACAGAGAGGCGAGGGCCGGTGTGTCATAGTGTATGACGTTGTCAGGCCGACAGGGATAGGATGTCCGTTGCCGATCGGACTCAGAGATAAATGGGGCCGGCGTGTCATGGTGTATAATGTTGTCGGGCCGACAAAGATCAGATGTCCAGTGGAGATTGGAGTGCGGCTTTCACCGAGGAAGCGTGATGCGGCGACGAGGCGGCGGCGATACAGGCACGTCTGATGCGCTGATGCGTGCCTGTCGGTGATGCGCTTTTACAAGGTGTTTTGGCGCACAGCTAGGACCTGTAAACTGGCGCTAACGTGCCGGCGACGTTTGGAGGATCGTACAAACGTGGAATAAATCGGTAAAAATGAAAATAAAATAGGAGGCCGGGGCTATGCCCATGACAAGTTTCACTGTATAATATTCACTCTCTATAGATTCTCTCAGCATCCTCTAAACACCACGTCAGATAGACTATAAACCTGATGAAGGCCTTCGCATTTGTATTGCCCGCTATCTTTGCATTTTTCTTGCCAAATCTACCAAGCAAATCAAAGGTTCCATGCAAACACAAATGCCACTCTGGGGTGGTGTATGGATTCATCATGGCGGAGATATAATACGATGTGCATTTGCTGTCCGAAGGCGTCAGCACCCAGATGAGCGCAATGCGTCTTACGTTCGAGTGAGTCCAGTGGTTTGGATATTCATATGGTACTCACCAACACAACAGTATGAAGTTGCCATTGGCAATGAAAACCGCCGCGCTGTCTACTATGGTCGGCTAGAGAAAATTCTCGAATGTAACCTTCCACAAGGCAGCTGCTTTTGGGGGGACTTGCAAGGGTGTCAACTGCTGCTTGCAGTCATAACACCTTGCGTTACCACTAACCGAGATGCTACGCAGGTAGTTACATCTTACTGTGCCGAGCAGCAGTCACAAGTGGTGGTTGACCTTCGAACGGTGCAGAGTGTAGTTGGTCGCATTTTCACTCACGAGAAGTGGGGAATTATTGACCGTAGCAGTAATACTGCTCGCACTGTATTTGTAGAAGATGAAGACTAATGAAGTACAACTACATGGAGGGAGCACAAAACAAAGACATCAATGAAAGAGGAAAGCAATTAAGCACCTGCAAGAGAGCAACGATGAAAAGCACAGAGAATAATTAGCAGCAGCGGGAAAGAGGACAACAAGTGTGGGCAGGTATCGCCGCGAAGCTTGCATGCAAGCGAGGTTACACTTCGAGCCCTCCTCTGCTCTCGGCGCGATAAAGATAGAGCGGGGTGCGTCTACCATTCGATCGGGGTCGCGAAGGCGAACAGGTCACATTTTGCGGACGGTCTCCGCACCGGCTGGGGCATCGGCTGCGCACGCGAGTGGTGCTGCGACAGGTGTCTGTGACACTGCCTCCATGGACATGGGCATCGATCCGGCGGGTGTCACGATCTTGGTCGTGAGATCTTCGACGCCAGACGGTGTCGGTGGCGATACGGACGACGCCGGCGATGTCAACATCGAATGCGATGCCTCATGGGGTAGACAGAGTTCCCGGGGATGATGGCGGCGTGAGGTAAGTGACCACTGTTTGAGGTGCCAGGGTCACCGTGGGAGGCGCGGTGTTGGCTTCGGTGGAGACGTCGAGGGGGCACGGCCGCTGATGAACAACGGCGTGCAGGCAGTGCCTATATACAGGGTGGTTGACGGTATAGAAGAAGGAGCTGGCAAGGGAGCAGCGTATGTGGGATACGGACCTGGTCCCTTGAAGTCTCTCTTCACCATCTCCTGGAACTCAATGAGCGTGGTGGGCTCGACGTTCAGCTGCCACTCGAGGTAACTGCACATCTCGCGTTCCATCTGGCTGATCTAGCAAAGGGTGAACATGTCCTGGCCAACGACGGACCATGACTTGTTCGAATATGTGTCGTTGCGAATGACTTCGTAGGAGAGCATGAAAGCGAAGATAAAAAGCCGGTGGCCGGATGAGCCTTGCGCAGGGGGGAATCTTGCTTTTAGTCGTTGTAATAGATAGAGAGCTGTGAAGGTGAGAGATTTGTGTAATCTTGTTCTGTGCAGCGCATAGGCGATAAATAGATCGAGACGAGGCACTGGCTATGAAGGCAACTGGTCTGAGGATTGCTCCGGGCGTGCAAAAGTATGGGTGACAAAGTGTGTGCATACCTTGGCCATCTCTTTGTGGTCATAGTAGGAGTTCCGCGCTGAACCACCGTGTCCTGTGCGGGGTATGGGTCGAACTGCAAGCCGGTCGTGCAAATAAAACAGCCACGGCCATTTATGGTAATCGGGGCACTAAAACATTAAAACCTTTGACTCTTGCAGTAGTTCTCCTTATCAAGACTTCTTCAGTGCATAGCCCCGTAGGTCAGGTAATCAAGTTAATGCTGTATTGCTTTTATGTATTTTTTTGAGCCGGTTACTGACAGCTGTGCGGACACAAGGGCGCTTGGCGCTGGGCGGCCTCGGGTTAGGGTCAGAACGGTCGCAAAGGGCGTCTGGCTCAACCTTTCCAGACGTTTAAGCGTCCCCTGAGCTTCCCGGCCACGGCTTTCGGTCTGTTTGCTTGATTCATGCCAACTGGGGCTTCAGAATCAAGGTCAGTGGTTCCAGTGATAAAAATTGGAAGTGTAATGAGTGGAGACCCAAGGAAATATTGCTGGGTTATCCACCGCACTGGAGTATCCAGTCAAAATCACTGGATTCTCCGGTACTGGACTTTCCATTTTTTTTGAGGTTGCACAAATGTACTGGATATCCCAATCATATCATCTGGGTCATTGGAATCTCCGTTGCTAAAAAATGGATCTACTTCCTACAGTGTACAGCCCTGACGACAACTGTGCGCCGCTTCTGCCTTCCCCCAGTCCGCTCATCACTATGGCTTCGACCTCTAGGATCAACGTACAGTCGACGTCTTGAGAAGATGACGCACCTAGTAACCTGGCTCTCGATGCGCGT